TCATCAACGACGGACCCCAGGAAGAGTAACTGAACAGCATGTGCTAAGGTTTCATCTCACAGACAGCGGTGCAGCAGTAGCTTTCTGATCAGACTGATTCTGGAATTATCATTACGTTATTTATCTTTCAATATGGCATTCGTTACAATATATGATTTTACACTGGGGCTGTTTAAAGGTGCAAAAAAAAATAATAGTAAAATAACTTTTTGGGGTCTCTTCTGTAGACTGTATACAGTTATTTATTTATACCAATAACACAAACTCAATTTTACAGACCAAGTCTCTAACAGTCTGCCAAATCAAATTACTGATAGAGTCAATTCCCCATCTATAGTGTACATCTTGTTAGAAACACAATAGCCAAATCTCTGAGTATACTGGATATTTAGGCGTTTTTCTATTGCCGTGTTAAACACAGCATTGAAAGCATCAAAGAAAAACACTAACACGGTGAAACTGTGACTACTCTAACTGGTAAAGACGCCATGCTTATTTTAAACCCAAAGGCATTGTCATTTGTGAAGATCTGATAACAAGAATTAACTGCACAATGATCATAGAGGTAAGGTCAGATAAAATGCCATAAAGCACAAAGCCAGTTAAACAAGAGGCGCAAGAAGGAACAAGTTTGATAAAAGTGCATATCTCACTAACACACATATCGCTTACACATTCGAATTCACATCAATACTCACACACTTTGGCCTCTCACTTCATTTTATGTTACACACTGTCAAATCATCCTCTAGGGGCCTCCGACTTCCTGTATGCTGCTGACAAACAGGAAGCCACCACGCGGTTCCAGCACCACAGCCATCCGGTCGCCAAGCTGATGATACCGCCATATCTCAGCTACGCATCATTTTGACAACATCCTACTTCCTCTCTCAACAGTGCATCACACCTACACTGAATTTGTTTATCACCTTTATTTCTCTTCCTTCCTTTTTTTGCTTTCTCTCATCATCGGTTTGCACTATGCTGACATTCATTCTCATCTCTCTGATCAGCATTCGCTTCACACTCTCTGCCAGTTTCACCCAGTAATCTTTCTTCATCAACTCATCTCACTTGTTCCAGCATGGTTTACCACCATCAGTGTTTCACAGTAACAACTGACATTGAGATTTTGTCTCTGTCACAGCATGCTGCTGGTGTCACTGGGGTACTCTGAAGTTTATGGTAAATGGACTTATACTTGTATAGTGCTTTTCTACAAACTTTGCAAACTCAAAGAGCTTTTACACTATTTTGGCAATTCACACACACACACACACACACACACACACAACACACACACACACAACACACACACAACACATGGGATGGCCACCAGCATGAGCAACTTAGGGTTCAGTGTCTGGAGAAGCAGAAACTTGAACTGCCAACCCTCTGGTTAAAAGATGACTTGCGTTACTACATACATTTCTATTGGACCTCGGCCATGACTGAACCCTCTGTGGCAGACAAACGTGGATTCATTTCCTGTAGCAGTGATGAAATTACACTGACACAACTGCAGATGTGAAGTCAGCAGATGAAATTAGGCAGGAAGTCAGAGGCAGTGAGACTGAGATCCTTATGAGTTGCACAGGAAGGGGACTAACGAAAATTTGGAGAATATACCTTAAAATACACAAATGTAATAACTGGAAGCAAGGAAACCGAATCAGTTGGTGAAAGATCTGGGGACGACACCGAAGTAGCTCTGAGTCAATGCAGAATGACATCAACTTCCGCCATAGGAAACAGGCCTGTGTTTTGAAATTTAAAATGCACCAGCTCCCCACCCCATCTCCATCTAATACTGGCACACACACACAGGCTAACATTAGCAAAGCATTCACAATGGCTCCTTTGACAGGCAGAGAGAGACAGGGATATGAGGGATTCCAGGGTGTGCATCCTTTGGAGACAGTCAAGACACAGGCACTGAATATAGCTCACATATGGTTCAGTTTAGAAATGGCCATAAAAAGGCTTTTTCATCCTGCCACTGAACCTCCTGTGCTTCACAGCCTCATTACTGTGCATGCATGCACAAACACATACAGTTTAAATTTATAATCACAATACATGATTGTGATTTTTTTTTCACCCTGATGTCTAAAGCTCACATGAAAAAATTCAGAAAAATATATTCTGATGCTTAACAACTTAAACACATGGCTGGTATGTTACATACTCTGCTCCCTTTGAAGGCTTTCCAAAGGGACGTATCACTATTGTGGTAAACTGTTAAATTAAAAGCCACCCATATGCCCATATCATATAGTATAGGTGAAATACTCCCTTTTTGACCAAAATCATATTTTACTTTGGCTTCAGCTTCTGCAGTGTGCATTGACTGGTGGCTAAAAAGCCTGCTTTTGCTAAAGATTGTCTAAACCAGGTTAAAGAACTTCTGGAAATGTGCAAATACTGGTATAAAAGATGCATAGTGTATAGTGCTGCTGGTTAGAAAAAAAGATCAAAACCTGAGCCGATTTGCAACGTGAGCTCCACAAAAAGGTCATTTCAGACATTCTGAGTGCAGCCCAGGATAGTAATAAATGTGTCAGCTGTGCAGGAACAGTGCTGAGTGGCTAAGCTAACATCCTGTGGTGTGTTCAAATGCACTTGCTGACACACAAAGCAGCTGTATCTGGCAACAGATGTGGTTCCATTACTGTTGTTTTAGACTGGGACTCAGCTGGGTAATTTTAGCTCTTAAACATTCTTCAAATAAAGAATTAAATGCTGAATCATGTAATGATGGAAACATTTACAGATGAATATCTCCAGATAGATCCTTGTATATTTGTCTTATTAAATGAGGGGTTTCTGTGTGCCCGTGTTTCCGCTCCAAATATGTGTGCTGTCTAACCAGATGGACTCTGACTGTGAGCCCACTAGAAGAGGTTCCTACACACATGCATTATAGAGATGCTTCTAAAAGTTATCAAAACTCCAGGCCTGGCAGATCAAATCCCTGAACAAAACACTAACCTTTCCTGTATTTATTTCTGATTTTCCTCAGTAGCATAAGCCATTCCCTATAAATAACTACATACCATCTCCTTCACTCTGTGGTTCACTCCTTTACACAGTACATACATCAACAGTCTATAAAAAGCATCATACGTACAATAAAGCACCATCTAGTCTGTGTTTCTGCTATCACAATCAATACTGATGAGAAAATGATAGCTGAATTTTGATTTGGAACTAAATACACAGTTTTCTCCACAGTGCTACTGTTCAGTTAGCTGACCTTGACCTCTGACCTTCCTGTGGGAGTTGGATAGGTATCATGTTACTGTGACCTTACTTTACATGTAGCTTGACAGAAACATTCACAAGATGTGTAAAAGCAAGAAAACATCTGCTCCATAATAAAAAGTAGATATGCTTGAAGGGGAAAAGCAATTTTCTCATTACTCAGTTCACAGAGTCCCTCGAGCACTTAACGCTATTGGTCTCACTAAGTCCCATAGTTAAAAACAGGTGAGTGAGCCTTTTAAAATACTGACTGCATTTGCAACCAAGAGTCCTCTAATAAACTGCAGCAATACACAGTCTCTTTAAGAGATAGTGTCTTCAAAAGCTTATGTTACTTTTACAACTTGAAAATCTGACAAGAAGAAAAACAACACTTACTCAATCTGTGTCCATAGAAGAATCAGCAATATGTTCAGAAGACAGTAGAAGAAGCACCTTAGTTCATTCCTCAGAAAAATGCAAAATGTGAACAACAGCCACATACAGCTGAAAACAGAAAAAAGCAGAAGATTATTAGCATTTAAAAATCTTTACAAAAACATTCTGCATCAAGTAGAACTTCTTGATTCCTCTTCCTCAAAACTTGTGCATATCATATTCTGAGAAGTCGCACTTCAGCACACACACAAAGCATATATACAGCACATGCTACTTCCTCTTTTTCAGTTCCCCACCTGGGGGAGGGGGTGCTGGGTTTCCCATTGGGGCTTTACATTAAAATAAAGTCTGCAACAATGTTCTACAAGTTGCGGAAATATAAGTCACCCAGTCCAGCTAAATATAAAAGTAGAATGCATTCATTAAAGACTGTTTCATATATAAATAATAAATGTAATATTGAATAACTGTACTAAAAAGGATTAATCGCTGTATTTGTTGCATCACAGGAGCACAATGGGAAATGCACCATCTACTACTCAACAGTCAGTGATGCCAGAGTTCGTGTTGATACACAATGTGCACCACACATGATGTCAGAGCGATGACCGGAGAGAAGGAAAAACCCACGATGTCCAAAGAACGAAACATCAGAGCAGAAGGATGATTGTTCACACTCACTGAACAATCACACTCTCACCAAATTATCAAGCCAGACAGTAACTGATTGTAATCGCACTGTGCGTGAATACATGCAGACTGATGACCAAAATGGAGAAGTAAAAACAGCCAGCAAGAAGTAACACCAGATACTGAAGGAGAAGAAGGGACAAGACTGACACAACATGAGGGGCCACGAGGAAATCAGAAATTACAGGAGGCAAATGCTGTGGTTTCTTTTATCTCCATACATTTCTCCCATTGTTGATTCCAATTTTCTGCTGTCGCTGCATAAGAAGCCTTTCACACATCTTATGTATGAAGACAAACAAACATTAAAGCAAAGCCTTTTCCTTTGTTTAATTCATAAAACTGACAGAAAGCAAAATGATCCCAGCCCTTAGCGCTGCTGGACAAACAGGTTAGCATAGCTCCACAGCAGTCACTTCCTGTGCTCTCAGTGGCACACTTCCTGCCTCGCAACACAGTCAGCGGCACTCTGCCCACCCACCACTGGCTACACTTTAGCAGTCTCCCTCTTGCCTCTGCTTTCCAGGCAGCTGCAGCACCACTGACACCTTGGCTTTCTCCTTTGTGCTCAGCTGGTTTTCTTTACCAGGCCACACTGACGGGGAAAATGGGACCTGAACTAGAACTTCAGTTAACCATGAAAAAGCCAGTGTGCCCCACAGAGGCCACTGAAATCAGAAAAAAAAAACCTGTTAAATCACTTAGCTGTTACACAGAACGAATGTGCAACAGGAACTTGATGACTCCATATACAACGAATCTTTGTCACTGCAGGTACTGGAACTAACACAGATGACTGAGAATGAAACCAACATCCAAAACCCCAACTCAAGTCCACATCCCCCTGTAAAGGTTACAGGGGTCACCAACAATTACTTCCTAAAGTGCCTGTAAGAGTTTGTCCTACTTGCTGAACTGTAATTTATTGTTGTTGGTGTTGGTGTGTGCCATCATGATGTTTGACACATCTTCCCCTGACCACGTTAAAGCATGTTGCAGTATTTTGTGGATGCAGCATCAGCAATTCAGGCTGCAACTACAGGGAAACTCAAAAACAATATAAGGAACACCAGTGAGTAATATTTAGCTAATAGTTCCGCTATAGCTTCATATTATAAATGACAGATATGATCTAACAGAGTGTCCACAAACACAAGCCATGTAAAGGCTCACATTTTACTTGTGCTACACGCCTGTAAGCTCAACTGGTGCAGTTTCCTGTATTTTATGCATGTAACCACAGTAACTATAACTGGGGCTCTGAGCACTTGACAGACACGGGTGACCAGCAGCTCAGCCCGAACACATCCTGTGTGGACACATGAGCTGCTGTTCTGCTCTGCCTTCTGTGCCGACACAGTGCGACTCGCCACCAGAAGGTATGTAAGTGCATTTCCACAAAATGTCAAATTACAGCTTTAACAACACTGATGTCACAAATGATATGTTCATGACAACAAAAGGGAATCTGTAGAAGTGCCAAGAGGCCAGACGGTTGCTGCCCAAACTGCTCATGCATCAGTTGCAAACACTGAATCATCACACATCATGAACGGGGGAAAATGATCAGACACCATGACAACATAAAATACAGCGAAGCGAATCAACAGCACAAACAATTTCAACAAAAAAGCTTCACCACTGGTGCTTCAGGTCTGTTGTGTTGTACTGTGCGTCTGTAATGTCACACACCTCCTCAGTAACATATAACCACTGCACTCAGGCTTCCTGATTTTTCCATTTTCAGCCCCATCAAAGCTATAGCCCAAATCTCAATATATCCACTTTGTTGCCCACTGACATCAACACCAGCCCTGCAGAAGCACCATGTCTCAACCGACTCATGTCCACAACATAGGGGCAAACACAGTCTATAGGATTAATTAGCGTAAACAAAGGAGAACGAAAAGAGCAGAGAAGAGAACTAATCCTGTATGCCACAGTCACATGAACATTAGTGGCACTCGCCTGCAGGCTGCTCAGTCACTTTGGACGCTTTGTGATCACACATCTCACCACATATGACTCATACACTGAAGGCCAAGCAGAGAATGGACTGAAAACAAATTCTAAGATAGAAAACGTTCCATTCAAATTCCAAGACACTATAATCTGACTGATCTAATACTGGAGAATTTCCTCCAGCTGCACTTGAAGCCTGATAATTCATTAGACCATATTCTTGATACTTGCTCTCTGCTTTATTGAGACAGCACAATATAAATGACAAGTCACTGGTTATCACACTGGGCAAAATATACAGTACTGTCTGAACAGGTTGCCGTTACTGGGCTAACACACACAGACACACAACTTTGGACTGGAGGAAGACACTGGACACTGAGCCACTGCACTGCCCTGATAATATATTACATGGTTTAATGTGGTGGTGGTACAGTGAGCAAAACTGAGCAACAGGCACCTCTATGCTGCTTTTAGATCTTGTTGCTAAAATGAAAATCTAACCAAGTATTTTCACCACTCAGGAATTTCCTGACTATATAAATAATGACTGTGGCACACATGAGGCACATGGTCTTGAGTTTCGGTGTTGGACAGACAGATGCCATCAATGCAATCACAAGCTGTACACAGGATACAGAACTGTGCACACAGAGAGAACACAATATTGCATTATGTTTCTACTGCGACCCACACACGCTGAACAAATGTGCATGACTGCAAAACAAGAGCTGTACCAGTCACAGTTCTTCTCTGTTCATCTTTGAAAGCAAAGTAGGAAGTGATAAGAGGCTCTTCTGAACTTCTCTGAATTCATTTCAAGAGTCAGTACAAGATAAATTTGTATAAGTGAAAGAGCAGGGAGACATGGAGGAGATTCACTCAGCCCCTCACTTCCTGACCAGAGCTGGTCCATCCCACTGCACTCCCGAGGAATGCTGAGAACTCAGAGCCACAACGAGCTAGAACGAGTTCTGTGACAAAGCGCATGAATGAGAACACAACCAGAGGCAACATGAGCACAAAAACAAGGCTCCTCTCTGCTGTGTTACGACCAAAACCTAGATACATCTTCAGCTTTGAAGAAACCGCAACATAAACTGGTCCAAGAATAACTGAGCAGCCTGTGAGCAGCGCTGAGTGACAGCATACAGTCAGTTAGTGACGTCTGTGCAAGAGCTAGCTCGGTTCAAAATGGTTCAAAATATGAAGAAAGGCATGTGAACTACAAGGCCAAGAGAGAAACAACATCATTTTAAAATGATTCATCTTTTTAATCACAGAACCAAATCTGCATGTTTGACACTGATGCACAAACTAAGTGACTCCCAGGCGATGTCAGTATAGTCACTGTGGCCTGCTTCAAAGGACAAAGTCAACTTTTCTGAAATGAGATTTTTGGAGACATTGGTGGTTGTTATTGGCCTTTTACCTCGGTGAACGGATTCATCAATCTGCATCAGTAATTTGGGAGAAGAGACAGATTTATTACATGAACAAACCTAAAGTGGCATGGGGGTGTACAGCAGGACTCACTGACTCCCCTTGGAGTGCATGTGCTTACTGTACTATCAGAGACAAGACCCAACAACATATCGTAGCACACACACACACACACACACACACTACACTTACACATGCAGTAAGCAGTGTGATACTGAGTGTATTTCTACATGATTCAAGTTGGCCTTCAAAATAAAGTGCTGCCTAGTGGCGTCTCCCACACAATAATGAATACACACATTAGATCAAACTATACAATAAAGCAATATGTACAGTGAAAGTGTGTGTAATCATATATGATCACACAAATCAAAGCATGTTGCAATCAAAACTAACAACGTTAGTTATCAGTTTTTGTTAACATGTTGCGTTTACTCAGCCTGTTTCATGGCTGTATCTCACATGGACCCAGTCAGAAAAAAGAGAAGTACTCAAAACAACCAAGAGATGAACATGAAAGGCAGCTAAGGAAACTCTGTCAGCCGATTCCCTTCAAACCACTGACATTAAATGAAGCATCCAGTGAGTTAAGAAGGCGACTGGACAGGCTCTGAGCTGTTTCACTGTTCTGTTGCTCTTCAGATTGGTGTCATATCGACATGTGTTTACACTGCATTCCTCCATTCAAAGCAAGCTCCTCTCTGTAAACTGTTTACACAGCCTGGCTCTGCCTGTGTGTCTATGTAAGTGCATGGGGAGTGAATGCTTCTGTCAAACAGGTTGTCAACACACAAATTCCTTTTCTTGGCTGTCTGACGTCCTGCCAGGTAATGATGTGGATGTAGGAGTAGCTGAGGTCGAGAGAGCATTTCTGTGCATCCACCAGTGGCCCTGCTCTCTAGACATGCTCTGAAAATAAAACCCAGATACGCAACAACAGACGCAGACCATTCCTTTCTCTCTTTGCATTTACACATGCCTTATTGACTACAGCGAGCTACGTCCTCACACAACACTAGTCCGTGAAAACACAGTAAGTTTTAAAAGAAAAACTGCTGATACAAAGGTCGCATTCACCGTCATTTGTGGCTGAAAGAAATGACAGACCCTGACCTGCTGCCAGAGCCCTGTACCAGTGCTGAAGACGCCTGTAGACGACTTAATGCTTCCCAGCAGCTCGTCTCAATCCATCCACCACCGCTGCTGGAATCATTCCCAGCTTCTTTCTGATTGTAAACCGAACTCGAATCTCACGGTTTCCGCTCCACTTCAGTTGTTTTCCAACCAAGCACACAGTCACAACAGTTAGACCAAAGTTAGGGTAATGTCTGCTAGACCTACCTCTATAGGTTTGAAGTGCTGTGCACGGATAATAAGCTTCCATCGACCGTCAATACACTGTGGCTTGTGTAAAGACGACTGAAGTCTGCAGAAGAGCGACTGCAGCCAGGCAGGCCAGCTAAACTGGCCTCGGCCAGAGCCTTACAGCCACTGGGTTGAGCCAAGCCGGATCATGTGAGGAGGAGGAGGAGGAGGAGGAGGAGGAGGTTTCAAACTGATTCCATAGGGACTACATTGAACTGAGACCTTTCAGAATACAAGGCCCAGTTGAAAAACATTTTTCATACAGTATAATTAATAGGCAGTTCAAAAGTAGCCAACTTTGGTGGGTGTGGCTCACTTCATAGAAATATAGTAACAAATTGTTATAAAATTTGTCTGGGAAAATAGCTAACTAAAATCTACCTTAGCCAACATTGTGTCCCTACCAAAGCCTCTTTAGACCCTTGTTGTAGGCAGCTAATGGTAATGCTATATCTCAACTTCAATTAAAAAACAAGGCATAACTGGTAATTGGACCGGGCAAATGGTTTCACACATCCTTGCCGAACCAACACTGTCATCTAACACAAGACCTGAAACAACTCAACTGGGCCCCTGAGGTAACAAGTGTCCTCAGTTTGTGGCTGCTTCCCAAACTGGTCCAGCTCTGTACTAATTGTGTACTAATTGTAAACAACACGTTTATTGCAAGCCCTGTGCACACAAGTAACCTATATTTTGTGTTTGTTAAGTGAAATTTCTAAGAGTACACCCTGCTGACCCGGGCCTCTGGCTCATTTGGTTGACTTCACTCTGTGTATGCATGGCTCTGGCTTAGGCTAATGCAGCTGTGCCGGCTGGGTCTCCCATCCGGGGTTTTAGCAGTGATGCAATGTTTCCAGATGTGGAAAACAGGAAAATATCTGTATTAGTTTAGGTCGAGGAACAATAATTATTCCCACAAAATGTGTCTGTAATATTAATGCAGATACTTAATGATGTATACATGGCACTAATTAACGTTTATATTGTTATTCACCAATATTTTGGAAAAGTCTGTTGAATTGTTTTTATGTCATTCTACATTGTTAATTAGAGCATAAAACAATATAATTTAAATGTGTCACAGATGAACTTAATTTTGACCAAGGTAGCACCATTTAACACATGTAAACAGTGGGATTGCATAATCACATTTTCTAGCTTTTGTACTTCTTCAGTGGGCTACAGGTTGCATAATTTGGTGTTTATTGTGAGCTTTTAATACACTGTGTGTGTTTTTTTTAATGACATTAGGTTGCTTTCATTTTACAGACACTTTTTCCCAAAGTGACTTACAGCAAGTGAAGAGCTAGGTGTCTACATTTCTATCAAAATGTCTATTTGTAGTGTTCTTCCACTGTTAGGGTCTGAAACCATCTGAGCAGACAGTACAAAAACGTGTGACATTTTACACAGAGCAAGCTGACATGTATATTATATATATACTGTATATCACATTTGTCAGAAAATATTTGTGGAAGCATTAGTTTCATCATTACGTGAGATCCTGGTGAGCTTTCCTGGTTGATTAAGATTTAAAGGAAAGAGCAGCTGTTTAGTTGCACAGTGAGGTGAGAGTGGGTGGACATGCATGTTGGATGGCTCTGTGCTGTGGTTTGTTCTCCCAGATTATCTCAAATCTGAAGGACAGAAACTTGATGTTATGAGCCTCCACAGGCGAATTTCCATGGACAGGACAAGGGCGCCTCCTGGTGGAGTAATATGATCATTGCATACAGGGACGTGGTTCTCTGACGGTGATTACTGCACGTTGAATGACACTATTGACTAGATGGACAGCCTTAACAGCACATCATAAAAATGTGTTACTGTGGCGTTGAAAGGTGCAACTCCTTTGTCAGGAATCATTTAGAGGGACAAAATGTTACTGCTACACATTATCACCTCAATTTAGAATCTTTTCAAAGCTGCCATAAAGTAGATGGTATTTCTAATGGTGTCAACAAGACCACTGATTTTCTTTATCTAATGATAACCTTCATGTCTTTAATGATAGTCTGAAAAAACAAACATTCATTATTTCATTTTCATTAGTGGTGTGTACAGTTTTATTACAATTTCAAAAGCATTACAAGTATATACAGGAAGTGACTGTTGCTGCTGACTGGATGAGGAGTCCGAATATTCTAATAATGCTTAATTGCATGTTACAACACAAAGTTCATAACATAAAATAAAAATAACAGTGTATGGAAAACATAATGGGCAGAGTTTCTCAAATTCCCTGATAATAAACTGGCTTCTCTGCCTTGTCCAAAATAACAGTTTATATTATTATCCTTAGGTGGACACAGTCAACATCTCAATTTCACTCTCCCTTCCTCCTGGAAACACTGGGGCTTTGTTAATCTGTATGATCCTGATTTTGTTTTGCTGCATTTCTGTCCAGCAGCTGCAGCCATTCATAAGAGGACAGGGGATGGGAGGACAGGAATCTTTGCAGACACATCTCAGTTGTCAAAGAAACAGCCAAACATGGCTCTACAGAGAGTTTTTCTGAGATAAACAGTGGCTGAAGTAGAAGACGACAACACTGACTGGCTGCTCAGATGCTCCTGGTGGACAGGCACTGGTTGACCACCTCCAGCAGAGAGGAGTTCTCGAGAGCTGCTGCCACTCTCTCTTTGTCTGCCAGCTGCTTGTTCACTGCACATATAACATAACATGACAACATAAATCACATATGAACAAATTCCTCACATTTAAAGGATAAGGCCAGTCATTTTCTGTATTAATAATAATTTGATCAATCTCCACAAAGAGATTAAAACTAACAATGATTTGCCTCTACTCATGGTTAATGTCTGTCACTGTCAGTCCTGGATTAGCTGATTTGTTTGTGCCATAGAGCTCCACTGTTGTTCCAAAAAGGATTAAAAACACATCAGTGAAAGACACCACTACACTGGGTGACACATTTTCCCCATTAGCAAACACCAGACCCGAGCGTGAGTAGCTAGCGGACTAGAAACAAAACTGAGAATTCACGCAAGATCTCACGTCCAGTGTTCTGTTATGAAGAATGTGTTTTAGTCTCTGTATGGAGGGAGACTGCTGGAAACACTATTAATATAGAAAACGACCAGCCTTATCCTTTAACAGTGAGCTCGTGGAAAACAAGATGTACATCATGTCTGCTGTCTCTGTGTGATATTTCTTTACCTGCTACCTCAGAGGTGTGAGTCCCAGGAGTGATGCAGACATCAATCTGAGTGAAAAACACACACAATGTATTTAGACTGAAAAACAAAATGCACAGGAATCCTGCATTGTACAGCATGTTGTTCATATTAACAACCAATCAATCAAAGGAGTTAAAATTCCTGTATATGTGTCAGCAGAGTGCCTGACATGGACAGACACATTCCCGTACTTTGAACCTGTCTGGTAGTGAACGTAGCAGCTTCACTTTGATTGACAGACCAATGAGTGTTGCCATGCTGCAGTGGGGGATGGTGGGTGTGAACTCCACACTCACAGTGCTCTCTGCATCATTAACCTGAGAAGAAGACACAGAAAAGAACGTATTTCTCCTTTGCTTGTTTACATTGAAGAATGTTTTGCAGAGAGATACATGTCTAAAGATCCAAAGCCTTCAAAAACTAAAAAGGCATCAACTAAATAATGTTCACTTTGTTGAAGAAGCCTTCCCTATAAATGTTAGTTTACATGTCTGATGTCATTTTTTAAAAGAAAATAATCTTTGCAAGTGCAGTTTGTACTGGGAAGTCAGGTCAGTGACGGACAGAATGAAACACACACACACACACACACACACACCTTGACTCTGACTTGCTCTACAACGTTGAGTTCCTCTAGAGACAGAGGATGCTCTGGGTCGTTGATGGATCTGATCAGATGTAGCTTGAGTTAAAGAACAGAGGACAACATAATAAAAACAGCTCATGTTCTGACTCTATGTGCTGCCCTGTACCAGTCAATGGGTTCTTCTTATTATTATGGCATCCCACCAGGAAGTTATCATGGGAGTCAGAAGTGCAAGGTGATGTCTTACTTCTTTTGTCCAAATCAAAACAAAAACCAAACGTGTTTTATTTGGTGCACATTGGGGGCCAATTCCTTGTATTTTATCATACTTGGCAATAAAGATTAGGATATATTTTAGCCTAATATGTCTGACTATTAGTTACACAGTAACAATACACTTCCAGGCAACACGCAATGCAACAGATATTCCTAAATTAAATCAAAATGCAATGTATATATTATACTATATACTATAGGGTACTGCTATCTCTACACTGTAACAGCTAATGTTATGAACCGGTTATCGGCATAACGCGATAACCGGAAAGCAAGTGAAAACAAATATGGCTTTTGTCCAGAGTATCAGTATCAGAGTATCAAATGTAGAAAATAAAAATACACACACGTAAATAAACAAGTATCTGTCAACCTATTAAAGGAACACGTTAACTACTTCACTTCAGAAATAGGATATCAAATATTTCTCTGTCGTCGATGGGGTCGTGGACGTCTTCGTCCTCTTCGGACGCCGTCAGTAGTCTCTCCCCCGACCGCTGGAATATCACAGGGTTTGCGTTTTCCAAGCGGGTTCCCCCAGACATTTTCAGACGATACTTTCGTTCACGTTAAACAGTAAATATCCTACTGTAAACAGTAAATAGCCTAATGTTCTAAACACACTGCACAAACAGAACCTTCCAAACACTTCCTGAAATAACGGAAAGCAACAGAGTCCAAAAGACCGAGAGAGCGAGAGAGAGTGAAAATGTTGTTAAAGGAACAGTTCACCTCAAAAGTTCCTCTAAACAGCTATGTAGCTATTAAATAATGTAGATATACAGAATAGCCTACTTGTCACACATATCCACTGGAGGTAGAAGAAATCTTAAATAAATAACTTATCTTGTACTCTGTGCCTACATTTAAAGCATACTTTATTTTGCCCTCCTAATCTTTATTTTAAAAAACCTCATTATGCTACTTATCTTTGTTTTCCAGTGCATTTTTAAAAATTTTTGGTTTTCCCATAACCTTTTTATACTTTGGGGTGAAATGTCCCTTTACCGTCTGGTTGTGACTCCCTCTTTGTCCAGCAGATGGCAGAAACCGCCCATTTTGTTTCTCAACAGTGACGCATTAAAGGTCTGTGTACTGTTGTCTACCCTGCAATATACTGACAAAGGGCAACGTTAGGTCCCCGAGACCAAACAATTTGTGGAAAATAACCAAAAATTGTGTCCACTTATACAATCAGAATGTTGTTTTTTAGCCTTTCTGCATGTAAACCAGTTTAAAAAAACTTTACAATAATGATAAATCAGTGAGGTTCCCTGTATCTGTGGAGACCGTATTTCAGTAGATTATTAATTGTGGTTTGATCTTGGGTTGTATTATGTATTAAAAACAAATTGTGTGCTTTTATTTTGACACTCTTCCTCTGCCTTATCACAATCTCATTTGTCACAGCTTCACTACTTCCATTACCAGCCTAGATTACACACACCTGTTTTCCATTTGATTTCCCTCACTTGGCCCTTTATCATCACCTCACACACTTCAGCTCTATACATATTTTTACTGATGGCTCTAAAAATCCAGAAAATTGCAAAACAAGATGTGCATTTTATGTTCCTGAACTGAAGGTAGAGAGCAAAAAGAGGATTACTCATCATGTCACAGTATATTCAGCCCAATTTGTAACTGCAGCTCAGGTGTTTTTATGTGCACCATTTAACTTTATCTAGTGTTTTTTTTTCTTTAGCTCAGATTAAAAACATCACTGCAGTACAGAACCATTTTTCATGTAGTGTTTTTATGGATGTGAATTCAGCTGTTCACTGTAGCTTTGTTGATACTCTGTGGTAGGTTCCCTCCCTGAATGAGTCCAACATTTGTCACTGCCCTATATGCACATACATTACTTGGTTCGGTTTAGAATGTGGTTTGTGTTACAGTAACCAAAAGCACAACATTTCACACCAAAATCAGGTCCTCATTTCCTGTGGGATAGTCCTGTGTTTTCTGACTCATCCATCTACCCCAACCTCTTGCTAGCACAAACTACAGTATGTACTGTAGTAAACTTATTCCTTTGTTTGTGTCGGAATCAGAATCAGCTTCGTTGGCCAGGTGTGTTGGACACATGAGGAATTTGGTTCAGGTACAGTGGCTCTCAGTGTCTATGTGCATGTCCTTCTATAAAGCAATGACTAGACAAGTAAAGAATATAAGGCTGAGAGAACAAAAAAGGAAAGAAAAAGAATGTGCAAACAAGAAAATGGAATGTGCATTAGGAAAATAAAAACAAAGTACTTATATAGAAATTATATACACACAGTTTAGATGCATTTTCCAGATCAATATATACAATGGTATATTTACAGGTATTGCCCTGAGGATTGTTGTTCTGCTAGCTATCATAATTACTGTCACTATTAGGTTGACTAAATATAACATATTACTGTTGTAATCACCTGTAATCACCTTTTACACAAACACAGTGTCTTTTCTTCAGAAGAGGGGCAGCAGAAACTGTAGTGAGGCAAGTGTAAGAGAGAGAGAGAGATGGGTGAAAACAGAAGGAAATGAAACAGGCTACTCGTTTAAGCATTTGTCATATCTCTTACCTGGCATTGTCATCACTCACTCTGCTCCTTACTGTGCTAAATGTCAAGAGAGATGATGACTGAGGAGTTCAGAAGTGGAGAAAGGAACTAAGTCTCCGTTCAAGCTTCTCTCTGAGGGCCTCTCAGTCTTCACTTTGGGTGTTGTACATCAAAACTCACTGATCCACTTAAGCATCAAATCCACATCCTCAGAACCTCCAAACAGTCCTCTAGCCTACTAAGTTATTAGGTCAGAGACACTTAAGCTCAGTTTCTTAGAGTCCTTGAGTCTTTAATCTCCAGAGGTTCAACCTCAGAGAGTTTCAGAGCAGTGTTTTGACACCCTGAGCCACCTGCTCACCTTTCTGAGCTATGTTTTGGGTCTTTTCCTTTCAAATTCAGCATGCTCAACAAGGCTCAAACCCACATCCTCACAGCTGACAAGTGCTCCTCTAACACACTGAGCTACTTGATCAGACACACACAAGATTCATCCCTTAGAGCTTCTGACTCCTTTGGATGTTGGACAAGTGAGTAAAGTTAAGAAGACTACACTGGAAGTTTGAGGTCTTATACTCAAAAGAAAAAACCTGAGCTGAAAAGGGGAGGAAAGCTTTTTTCCTGTGTCGTCTGCCCAGCCAGTTCCATAGCTCATTAAATTCTCCACAGAGTCTTCAAAGCTTCCTTGGAGCTCAGTTTCGAAATTTGGGCTGAACCCTTGGAGGTCGAACATTTCCACACATATCAGCTAATTCACGCTGGTAAGATCAGAGGATGACTTGGCTTTATTTATTTTGTGAAAATATGTTAGATGCTGGAGAGAGAGAGAGAGAGACTGATGCCTTCACTTGCCCCGCTGCTCTGTCTGTTCCCTTGTGATTTCTCATATTGACTACTATGTTTCTGTTCTTGTGGGTGGGATTCACAAAACAGAAAATATCTGATCTTACAAGAATGGATGCTCTTTTATGTCTCCTGTTTTTCTGCAGCAGCATTTCAGAGCCTTTGGCTTTGGTTGGACTTTTGATTGCTCCCAGCAGGGCGTTTTTGGCTAGATTTATAGTGTGAAACCTCTTAAAAAGACCTCTAAACCAGCCGTGGCTCTGAGGAATTATCTTTTAAAAGCTGTAACTTTAGAACCTTTGAATAGTCACCACCTGTCAGATCCCAGGATGAGGGAGTAAAAACAATAAAAGCGGACTGCCTAATGGTAGAGACTCATACCTAACTGTGAGCTCAAACTCTGATTTAACCAACATTCAGTCACTATGTGCAGAAATTCCGTGATTATAGCAGCTGTTTAATATCAGCTTTCAGGTAAAATATTGACTTGTAAAGGAAAAGACTGAACAGAAAGACAATAGTCAGAAGTCAACAACAGGGACAGATTAGAGAAGCAGCCAGTGAAACTCAGGACACTCCGTTCAAGCTTCTCTCTGAGGGCCTCTCAGTCTTCACTTTGGGTGTTGTACATCAAAACTCACTGATCCACTTAAGCATCAAATCCACATCCTCAGAACCTCCAAACAGTCCTCTAGCCTACTAAGTTATTAGGTCAGAGACACTTAAGCTCAGTTTCTTAGAGTCCTTGAGTCTTTAATCTCCAGAGGTTCAACCTCAGAGAGTTTCAGAGCAGTGTTTTGACACCCTGAGCCACCTGCTCACCTTTCTGAGCTATGTTTTGGGTCTTTTCCTTTCAAATTCAGCATGCTCAACAAGGCTCAAACCCACATCCTCACAGCTGACAAGTGCTCCTCTAACACACTGAGCTACTTGATCAGACACACACAAGATTCATCCCTTAGAGCTTCTGACTCCTTTGGATGTTGGACAAGTGAGTAAAGTTAAGAAGACTACACTGGAAGTTTGAGGTCTTATACTCAAAAGAAAAAACCTGAGCTGAAAAGGGGAGGAAAGCTTTTTTCCTGTGTCGTCTGCCCAGCCAGTTCCATAGCTCATTAAATTCTCCACAGAGTCTTCAAAGCTTCGTTGGAGCTCAGTTTCGAAATTTGGGCTGAACCCTTGGAGGTCGAACATTTCCACACATATCAGCTAATTCACGCTGGTAAGATCAGAGGATGACTTGGCTTTATTTATTTTGTGAAAATATTTTAGATGCTGGAGAGAGAGAGAGAGAGACTGATGCCTTCACTTGCCCCGCTGCTCTGTCTGTTCCCTTGTGATTTCTCATATTGACTACTATGTTTCTGTTCTTGTGGGTGGGATTCACAAAACAGAAAATATCTGATCTTACAAGAATGGATGCTCTTTTATGTCTCCTGTTTTTCTGCAGCAGCATTTCAGAGCCTTTGGCTTTGGTTGGACTTTTGATTGCTCCCAGCAGGGCGTTTTTGGCTAGATTTATAGTGTGAAACCTCTTAAAAAGACCTCTAAACCAGCCGTGGCTCTGAGGAATTATCTTTTAAAAGCTGTAACTTTAGAACCTTTGAATAGTCACCACCTGTCAGATCCCAGGATGAGGGAGTAAAAACAATAAAAGCGGACTGCCTAATGGTAGAGACTCATACCTAACTGTGAGCTCAAACTCTGATTTAACCAACATTCAGTCACTATGTGCAGAAATTCCGTGATTATAGCAGCTGTTTAATATCAGCTATCAGCTTTTAGGTAAAATATTGAGTTGTAAAGCAAAAGACTGAACAGAAAGACAATAGTCAGAAGTCAACAACAGGGACAGATTAGAGAAGCAGCCAGTGAAACTCAGGACAGCCCGATATGAGGATGCTGCTTGGTTTGTACTCTTTCAGTCAAATTTATTTAAGAAAGACTTTGATGAATGTGTCTGCTGTCTTTGGAGGTATGGGAAAGAAACCCAGAGGAGAGAGGGTTTCAGAGGCAGAGTTCTGTATTAAAGGATCATAAGATTGAGGTACAGTAGGTACAGACAGTGACACATGAGGGTGTAGAGGCTGAAGGGATTTCATACTCACTCACAAATAGCTCAGAAAATATGTCAACACCCAAAGCAAACTTTGATGTGTTTAAACCCACATTTAATTCTGTAATCTCATGTGATTCACTCGTGACTCATCAGTTTAATAGTTACCTCACGTTGTGTTTTGCTTCAAAGTCAGAACCCACCACTTTTCTTTTCAGTCAAATGATACATTTCTTTGATAAATTTCACTCTG